TATGTAGACGGCACAATGGAACCGAAAATCTGTGGTTGATACATCGCGTCGTACATGTAACATTTTTATATTGTTTTGACGGAAATTTTCATCTGTCGTTTTGACGCCCCCCAAAAAAGGCGAATTAATATCATTAATAGAAAGAGCTTTTAAGTTTCCAGAGATCTCAAGAAAATCAGCAAAAGTTTGCAGCAGGGGCGATCAAGATAAATACGATTGACCGAGACGGGCGTGGCAGGGCAGGGCGGTACGTACAAACTTGAAGGGCGACCGACGTCATGTAAATTAAAGGCGCTAGCTAAGGTTTTCTTGACACTGAGGTCATATATACCTGAGAAACCTCTGCTCGCTGTTGGAAAACGTCTACACCTCATTTTGTTGCATATTGTCAGATCACTCCGCCAGAAACAGTTTTTACAGAAACCCCTTACAGTGCAATTAAAAAAGCAGACTTCAAGGTGAAGATAAGGAAAAGAGTGTGTGGAAGAATGAAGTCCGACTAACAGAGTGTTAAAGGATAGAAATGTAGGCTAGTGTGTGTACTTCATTTGTCTATAGGTGTTGAATATGGTTGTGTTGTTACACAAATAAATTACATTCACAACCACACAGGACTGCTAGTGTCTTCTCTGACTGCTTTGCTGGCCAATGTCTGGTCCTTCCTTCCTTAGTAACAACAAAAGCTATACTGCACACAACAGCAGCAATTAACTTTTGTCCACTCAAAGAAAGCTGAAGCAAACGGTTTTGCCAAGTACAAAAGATGTGCAAGTAACTCCTTATGTATGACTGTTGGATGTAGCTAAAATTCAAAACCACAATAGTGGCCAAATTAAATTTCTTCTCCACACTAAAACCCTGGTTTCATACGTGGTGATACTTACTTTTGGAGAGTCTTCATTTCTCTCATGTGTCTTCACGCCAACTGGCTTGCTGAGCCGTCATCGCAGGGTTCTCCCGGAATGGACAGCCGGCCCTCAGGACACACTGTACAATATGAAAGGATAATTAGTGGGATGGAAAACATCCCCAGGCAACACTGAATGACCATAGCTAATGATAACATCATGGATTTCATAGATGTCATTCATAAAATTAAGTCAGTGTGGCCTAAGTTGTAAAGCAAGTTACTTGAATTAATGTACAAAAAGTTAGGCTTTCAAAAGTGTTACAGGTAGCATGTTATGCCACGGTTCTTAATGTATCCAAGATGAAAGGAAAAATTCATGTAAGTTGGAAAGTATTGTCTCACCAACTTTTCAATGCATCTTCAAGTCAACTGGTTTGCAGAATCCTCATCTGGCCTGGTGTGGACAGAAGTTGTCCATCATCACAGGTTTCTCCCAGTCAGGACAGGAATGTCAGGACACACCTAACTGATATAATGAACAATTAGTGCAATGCCTCCAAAAAATTTCCAGGCAACATGGAGTGTCCATGATAAAATCCTGCAATTGAACTATCCCTTTGCTTTAAGATATGTACACAATGTTGAAAGTAGTATGTTTTGCCTCTCAGTTCTTAACATATAGAAAAAAGTTGTAAAGCACTGTCTAACCTGTACAACCTCTTCATTCTGTCTTCTGAACTTCAAGTCCTCTGGCTTGGTTTGGTCAGGAACATCTAGGACTACTGACCCTCAGGACACACCTAAACATATAAGACCAATGCAAGGTATGAAGGGTCAACCAGCTACCAGGTAAAGATGACCTCTTGTAAGTGACCTTTTATTTTGCCTCTTCCTAGTCATTTATATATTCAAGAAAAGCAATACTTACAAAATTAATGTCAAAAGATGTTGCTAGGATGTGTTATTTATATTAAGTGTAAGATGTAAGGGAAGAGTGCTAGAGTCAAACATATCTTCATTGTCTCACCTCTGGATGTTGTTGTCATCTTGCTCTTGTGTCTCTAAAATCACCCAATCTGGTCCAAGCCAGTCTTGTCAGGTTCAAACAGGAGTCCCCACTACTGCATCAGTCAACAGCCACCTACATGTAAGTATACAGACATTAGATGTTACACATACACTTGTCTCAACATGAAATAAATATAAGGTTAAATGCACACAACTTCAGATTTTTCTAACCTAAGTCATCTGGAGTCTTCAAATCACCTGGTCTGGTCTGGTCCAACCTTCTCTTGTCAGGTTCAGACAGGAGTCACAGCTACTGCATCAGTCAGCTAACTATACAGACATTAGATGTTACACACTTGTCTCAATTGCTACCAAGTAAATGGTGCAAAATGCAGAATTGGGATTTTTCTCACCTGATATTCCTCTTTGGCCTTCAAATAATCTGGTCTGGTCCAGTCTGTCTTGTCAGGTTCAGACACTATTCCTCTCTACTGCATCAGTCAGCAGCCACCTAACTATACAGACATTAGATGTTACACACTTGTCTCAAATACTACCAAGTAAATGGTTCGAAATGCAAAATGGTGCAAAAATATTCTCACCTGATATTCGTCTTCGGTCTTCAAATCATCTTATGTTGTCCAATCTTCTCTTGTCAGGTTCAGACAGGAGTCCCAATAAGTACTGCATCAGTCAGCAGCCACCTAACTATACAGACATTAGAAGTTACACACTTGTCCAAAAAAACAAAAAAAACACCAAAATAATTGTACTAGGTAAAATGCAGATTTCAAATTTTCTCACCTGGTCCAATACTCCTACACGTATCAAATCACCCCATGCCTCTGCCATCACAAGTCTCATTGCATCAGTACTGAACACCTGCACAAGTTGCTGACCCTCAGATCTAGACCTCTAAGCACACTACAGCATTCTATGAAAAGAGGAAATAGTTATGCTACCAGGTAAGGCTAGAAAAAACACTTCTCATTTCACCAGCTTGGAAAATTAACTCTACCACGATGCAAGAAAATCACAATCTCCTGCTGTTTATGAGAGTCATAATAATACAAGAGATGAAAAAATGGTAAGAAAATTCTTATGTTACGTTGTGGATGTGAAATCTGAAACTACATTTTTAGGGTTAGGGGGTACTTTCAGAGAAAGGTACTACACAGTAAGGAAACAAGAACCATAACAAAATTTCAAGCAACCGTTTGACAGACAATATCTACTCATTTTGTTCTTCTTTTGCTGCATTTTATCTTTCACAAATGCTTCGTTACTCTCAACGCTAACGTTAGCGATACACATACACGCACATTAAATTTCTTCACTTACATCGACAATTACCTCGACGAAAACTGTACTTAATAATATTAATGACCATAGAAAAAGCGGGGATAGCAACAACAATGAAATAAACCAAACCCCTTCAACTCCAACTTTATGTTGAATACAAATAATCTCGGCGCAAAATTTTTGAAAACCGCAATTGCGACTTTCCAGAGTAGTCAAATGTAGTGTTTGAGCCACAAATACATTAAGCCTTGGTCTAAAATTACTGAATTAGTCTAAAATGGAAACGAGCAAGGTTTTAAATAATACATTGGAAATGATAATGAAGAACGACAGACTCGACTGAAGTTTCCAAACGTTTTGTAACGTCCTGAATCTCTGAGCGCCATATGCTTGTTTACGCGAGATTTGGCGGGATCATCAAAAATAATTATTATGTACACGGGCACATTCCAACAGGTGTTTGGAACCACGTGGAGATGAAGAAAAGGTGTAGCAAAATTTCTTTAAACAAATATAATCTCAAAACGCTGAACAATTGGCAAAAAAGACATGCACATACATTTAATACTCAACAAGCGCACCGCAAATTGAAAATGTTGTTGAAAACGCGGCAACTTGTATAGACTTTTTCAAAGCGTCAAAATTAGAAACGGTCGCTCTCTAATACAGAAATAGGACATTTCTTACGGAATATAACTTGACATGTTCTTACTATAGGTGCCAGGGAATAATTTCAGCCAAACAATTTGCCGGTTTACCTGCAACGATAAGCGAAGTTGCGATGCCACGCTACTCTTCCCAACTGTCTCGCCATTTTGTTGTCTTCTCCAAAATTCGCCAGGTCAGGAAATCCGCATTTTCTCTTCCAAACATCACCAGAACGGCACAAATCCACAGCGAACACTCCCAGGCATTCTGCTGCACACTTACTAAGACATTCTACTGACGAAAACGTGTAAAAAGTACCCAGAAAGTTGTACAAAAAATCAGCCCAGAGCATTCCCGTCGTACGAAAGCGCCATTTTGAACGCCGGACCACGCCGAATTTGTTTTTACACAGGTGTGCAAACGGCCGTGCATAATTAACGTGAAGCAGATGTGAAGCTGGTGATCTAATTATGACGGCCAATGACGGCCCGTCTCGGTGCTAGGCACTTGAGTATTTTTCTTATCGATAAATAGACGATTTCATGAATAAGCTGTTATGTGATCATAGTATGAAATTTAACACTCTTGTCCAATTTTCCTCTTGCTGTTAATTTATTTATTTTCGCGGGGACTTCCGTGGTAGAATAAACACTCCTTCCGCACACACAGGCAAACCTGTCCTTGGTGCTGAACTCGCTCCACACGTAGGAAAACTAATTTACAGTGCTGAGGGTAGCAAAACTAATTATAATCTCTCCAATTTCCTTAATCATCAAGACAGTTACTGTCACTTAATACAGCACTGATTTTTTTAAATAGTAAATGTTATTTTTCTAAACCCTGATGCCAAATGAAAAAATAATAAAAACAAAGAAAGCTATTGTAACAGTTCCTCATAAATTATGCAAATGAGGTACTGATTGGAATAAGTTGTGTTTGATGATGGTCATGGAATTATGCAAATTATGTAACAATTTACATATTGATTGATATCTGTCAATGTTCCTCTTCATCATCTGGCGAAAATATATGAGATTTTGGAACTCTTGTAATTAATATAAAGCATTCTGTGTGCCTTCATATCGTTAGCTGGTGTGTTACGCCGATGAGTGGTCATACCGGCTATACTGATACAGAAATCCATAGCTATAGATCAGACAAACTCACACTTCACCACACGTACAGACCATACTTGGTTCCAGATTCTTTACTTGTGTTTTTAGTCTTCTCTGTTATACATACAGCAAGGTTGGACAAGGAGACACCACTCCCAACAGTCCTACACAACTTAGAATTATCATTTCATAAGGGGATAATAACAATAATAATAATACCATTACCACAGCTTCCTTCCACCTTTAGTCACAAGAATAGATATTATGTACAGATCAATCAATCTACATCACGAGTCAGTTACTGAACAAAAACATTTGTCACACACTAGAAAAAATACATCTTAACAAGAGTAGAAGTTACAATTCCAAAGTGTACATTTATGGAGCGTACAGCTACATAGTTACAAGTCTCAGCACATACATGTACATGTAACAGTGAATGAATGGTCAATTGTATAGATATCAGCTTAAGTTTCCATTTCTGTTATACTAGTAGATGCATGTACAATGTATATGTATCCTGAAAGTTGACAGCAGATTTACCTGTATGCAGTATATTTCTTAAAACAAATGCATGGCGGTTGTTTTGATATTGTGCTACTATATGTGAAATACAAAGTAAGAAGGAACAATAAGAGTGAATAAAGTATATGATGGCTGTAAAATATTCCACAAGAATATGAATCTGCAGTCCTAAAAGTTTTTAGACGAACTGTGGCATAAAGAATGTCTCCTTTCTGTTAACAGAATACATTTTTGCAACAAACATGAAAAGTTTAATCATAAAAACCGTAATATAACAACCATGGCTTTGCATAGACTCCACTTAAAGTGTTTGGAATCTCATCTTAAAGTCAACTGAACATAACTGAACTTTTTATTGTCTTCAATACATGTCAGTTCATTTCTAAATGCTTTTTTTCCTTAAAAAAGTTGGAGCAACGAGATTTAAATAGAAGAAAGAAAATGTGGCTTGCGCATCAAGTATTTTAAAATGGATTGAAGGAATTTGATTTAAAGGTTCTTACTAGCAAATGAAATGAACTGATATGTTTACCTTCATAAGGATATTTTACACATTGGTACTACAGAAGTGTCGAAAAACTAAGCTAAACCTGTATAATACAATCATGTGTTGGCATGTTACTACTAACTCAGTATTGCATGGAAAGCTAGATATACATGTACATGTCGAACAAAGAACAGGTAGTGACATAATTAAAATCATGATCTACTAGTACTTGCAATCAGGATCAAAACCTTTTCTGTATAAGATTTGATTTGCTAAAATCCCTAATCTGCATTTACCGTAAGATCTAGAGCAGCTTTTTTTACAACATTCTGCAACATTTTCCTTTCTCTTTTCCAATTTACACGTCAGAGTTTGTAGATTATAATTCAATGCTTGGCACTGCACATACCCCTGTCACATTCTTCTTGAGCTCTCTGCCTTGCCATATTTACATACAAAAATATCATAAAAAAAGACATTATACAGGTAACATCTACTTGAGCCATCTGAAGGCTGCAGATGTCTTGAAAGATCTTGCAAGAAAAGTTGTCTTTTGACTTGACAAATATGGCCGTCTCGACTTATTAAAAGAATGAAAACTGTGTAGATTTGATGCTTCCATTATTACGAGTTTAAATGGTGGAAATCGAAAACCAAAGAATCTAATTCGTGTTGCCTGTATAGACACTCGTTTATGTAACTATTTAAAATGTTTAACGAAGATAGCTAAACCAAATTGGCAAGAAAATGGTTTGACGTACATGTACATGTATGGAGAGCCACACCCATCAAAAGAGAACATGTCAAAAATCATTTTGTGTCCTTCACAAACTACAAACAACATCATCACAAAGTATCCGGTGAACACTTTTCAAAGTAGACATATTCACTACAGAGGTTTTGTCCAAGATGCCTTCCTGATTTGTCAGTAAAACTGGCAAGATACAAACAAGTTTGACACCAAATGAGGAGTTTTCAAAAATCATTACAACACTAACAGTCACTACTGTACATCAACATAAAAAAACCTTAAAAGTTTACATCTATTGATAATACTTAAAATTATGATACAGCTTTATCCTGAATATGGTTACATGTCACAGACACTATATTACAGAATTTTCAAACTCATTCGATGGTGAATAGTACAATAATATAAAACATAACACAAAAAAACAGCTTTAAGCTTCTCACACATACGTGGTAGTGCAACACAAATTTTTCCCTTCAAGTTTCGTGGTGCACCGATTCTATTTTTTGGCTCACGGACTTAAACAAAAATAACACTCAACTGTACGACAAAAAGACTTGTCAGAGGCAACTGTCTATAAAATAATTGGACTGTGGCCTATAGTATGATAATGGAAAAAATACAATCAAGAACACTTTCTGTACAGACTAGGATTCACCCTTTCTATAATACTGCCCCATATTATCATAATAATCTATAAGCCATAGTGCAGACAAGTTGAGGGTTAATTTTCCAACATAACGTGATGAAGTAAACGGTGATGATACAATTCTCAGATGTAAAATTTCGTCAAGATCTTTGTAGTCCTTTTGAAAAAAACGTGATAAGTGAATCAAATGTTGAAGGCAGCTCATATATATATTTTCTATGTATCTGTACATCATCATACTTGTGTGAGGAAGCCAATGTTTTTCTCTGTAAGAACATGCAGAGGTCCTCGAAAGTCGGCCTGTTCTCTGGTTCCTTCTTCCAGCATTTTCTCATCATGGCGTAGGTGTCGCTGGGACAGATGGCGGGCTGCGACAGGTGCACCTGACGGCCCTCGTCCTTGAAGAACTCTCCCGTGTTCTCGATGACCTGCTCGTCGCTCAGGTGGGCGTACGGCTGCTCCTTGGCCAAGGTCAGGATCTCCCACAAGGTCACGCCGAAGGCCCAGATGTCGCTCTGGCTGGTGAACTTACCCTGGAGGGAAAAGGGAGAGGAAAACATTGTTCAACTCTTCATTCTAAAGGAGAGGGAAACATCGTGTCAACTCTAAGACTTCATTCTAAAGGAGAGGAAAACATTGTTCAACTCTTCATTCTGAAGGAGAGGGAGACATTGTTCAACTCTTCATTCTAAAGGAGAGGGAAACATTGTTCAACTCTTAGGGATTCAAACCCAAAAACTTCAGATCCTACATTGTAGGTCAACTAATCCTAACCACAAGACCACCTTGCCACCATAGAATTCACTGTGTAGCATAATGGTTGGGTGTTTAGCCCAGAACCAAAAGGTAATGGGTTTGAAGCCATTGACTGTCCTGTCATTGCACCCCTGGGAAGGGCACTTTGCAAAACTTTCCTCACTCAACTCTTCCCAGGTCAAAATGAATACCTAGCTTAGGTTAGGGACATCCCTCGGATAGGATGTTTGATGTCTCGAGCCTCTCCCTATGCACATCAAAGAACTCACAACACCTTTTGAAAATGCGTGGGGCATGCCCTGGTGTGCGATGGTTCAAATACTATATAGTACTACTACTGGTATCTGCTGATTCACTACAGATTCCAGGAAAAGTGTTAAATTTACACTAATACAAACAAACAAACAAAACACATCAAGAAGACCCTTACCATGAGAATGCTCTCCCAGGCCATCCATCTAATCGGCAGTACGGCGCGGCCCTGTATCCTGTAGTAATCTGCACAGTACAGGTTCCGACTCATCCCGAAGTCCGCTATTCTAACCGAGTGCCTCGGTCCCACCAGGCAGTTCCTGGTGGCAAGGTCGCGGTGCACGAAGTTCAAGGACGACAGGTACTTCATGCCAGATGCGATCTGAGCAGCCATGTACAGCAGCGCCCCCAATCTGTAGTAAAAGGTATTGCATGGTTAACTTGTGAAGTGTGAAGTCATACATGTACATTCAATGCATGAAAAGTATGTTACATTAATAAAAAATAACGAAAATAGTACTGTATCTCTAAATGATGAAAGTTTTGCAGTGATTTTATTTTGTTGGGAATGGTAGATTTTCATGATGTTTCAAGTGTGCATTTGAAAGAATGCTGTATCGCAGTTTGTCAAGCAAGGAAGAATAGGTCACCACGATAATTGCGAAAATATATCCACTGCGAAAGTTTCACACTTTATAAATGTTCAGTGGTGAAAAAAGGTACGCAGAGTATACTGACCCAAGCATGGGTGCATTTGAAGCTGAAGGAACAGCGCCTTCAAACTCGTGTTTGAATAGGTACTGGTTCAGGTCCCCGTTCTCCATGTACTCAACGATCATGCACAGGGGCTCGTCCCGCGTGCACACGCCCAACAGTCGCACGATGTTAGGGTCCCGCAGCCTCGCAAGGATCTTCACTTCCTTAAAGAAGTCAGTTCTGTAGAGGAGAGAGGTAAATAAATAAGACATCAGTTCTCAAGTTGTTGACTTCAAATACATGTAGTAGCAACGCATAAGTTGATGTGGATACTTTACAATAATGACCTTTTTTCTGTTCTCATGATCATTGACAAAGAGATAAAAATTATAAAAAATTCAAACCCATCATCATAGTATATAATGACAATGACAATGACAAATGGTAATAAATATAATAGAGACATACAAATATTGATATGAGCCACTCTTATATACCACCAAATTATTTTGTTATCAATTCCCGCAACTTGGTAATAAACTATATATGTGAATTTCTACCTAGCCTTTTAACTTTTTGGATACAAATGTACATGTTCCTCATACATAATATGTATTTGCATTTCACTTCTATTCATTCTCAACACATAATAACAGTAGTATGAAGTGTACCTGGCATTTTTGGTAGCGTCTGGTCTCAGCATCTTCACAGCCACCAGCACAGGCTTGTCCTTTGTGTGGGTGAGGCAGAAGTCTCCTCCAACAAACTCTCTCATCCCCTCAGCTTCACACAGGTGAACCTATAGAAAAAACAGAAATTGGCGATTTCAGACTTCCGTAAAGTGTCAATGTACACACCATACAATACCTGATGGAATTACATCATAGAATGTATTATTATTAACTGCAATTCACTTTGTCTTCAGCAAAATTTCAAGGTCTGACGAAAATGAACATGTTCACTGAGCCTAATTTTCACGGTGATGGGAGAGGACTGACTCCCTTGTCAATCAACTGAAACCAACCCAATCACGGCCTACTCACTTTCAAGGTCTGAGGAAAATGAACATGTTCACAGAGCCTAATTTTCACGGTGATGGGAGAGGAGAGCAAGGGACAATTGATTTGATAACAGTACAGAAGTGACCGTGAAAACTGTGAACTAAAAAAGTACTGTGAAAAAAACAGGAATTACAGAACTTTGTATAATGTAAACAAACCGTGTTTTATGTTTCATACCATGATTACACAGTACAAATTTCTGACAAACTTGTTGTACAATGTATTTGAGGAGTTAAGCATAAATTCTGTTGTTCCGCAAAATGACAGGTAACCAAGGTAACAAGTTGGAGCCCCGCCCTCACCTCTCCGAACTGCCCCTCCCCTAGCTTCTCCTGGAAGTGCAGGTTGTGTCGGGGGAACTCGGGCGGAGTGGAGGTGGAGTACATGTCAATGTTCACGTTGGGGACGGCGTACGTGTTGGTTCCCGCCACGCCCTGGATGTTGACGATCTCAGCCTCAGCGTAGTGCGGGATCTTGACGTTCGGGTTGGCGGCGCAGAGGCTGAAGTCTGGTTCGGCGTACACAGCATCACCTGGGATGCAAATGATGTTATTATAAAGAGTCTTGAGCATGCAAATGAGGTAGCTTTCATGCAAATCTTGATTATCATTATTGGAAATTGGATTCATTGGGAGATACCAAATTCCCCGGGAAAGCCACGATGGTGGCATTAGGGACTTTGAGGGTTAACAAGAGAAAGAATGAGTTTTTTGCTCAACAATCATACAGGTATAATGAATGGCAACACCTATTGAACAACAATACTCTAGCCTCTTGCAGCAAGCCGCCAAGTGCACTTTGTAATTGCTATACGAAGGGATTGTGTGTCTAGAGGTCTTTTTTAATACGGTGTAGCATAAATGTGCTCAACATAGAATGAATGATGCCAATAGAAATCCTGTAGGTTCATTAGGAGTACAGTGACATGTAAGATATTGGAATTTTCTTCTACACCACCAATGACTCTTACGTTTCGGTGTCTATCAGACACCTTCCTCTGATATGTAAGCAAGGTAAGAGACATTACTGGCTGTGTAAAAGGACATCCCAACATCCTATGTTATACCAACCTGTTGAAACTGATTTTTGGAAGGTCTTTTAAGACATGCGTTTATACAATGTAAAGAAAAAACTCCAGAGTGAGACCTGATAGCTCTCTCACCTGAGTTCTCCCTGGACTGACTGACAGGCGCGGGAAGTGCCGGCAGGTCGGGAAGTTTCCTCAGGAAGTTGTGCGGCTCCTGGTACTCGGGATCGTTGGGGCGGATGCGATGGTAGCTCGGGTTGGCGTGACGTACGCTGGGCTGGTTGTTGTGTCCGTTAGGCATGCACACGTTCAGCGCAATGTGCTGCTCAAATCCTCTCGTTTCTAAAGAAAACAAAACGAAAGTCAGTCATGTTTGCAGCACTATGAAATATGTTGCTGCATCAAATAAGAAATCAGAGATTTCAGACTTGTGGGAAGTGTTTTGGATTGATGTGAAAGTACTGGAACTGTATTTCATGATCATGTGAAAGATTGATTGAATTATACTCATAGAATGGATTATCATTCCGGAAATTTAATCTGGTATTTCACCACGGCTTATGTTTCATTTCATACCATTATTACACAGTACACATTCCTAGCAACACCATACTCCATCCTACCACCCAGAGCAAATCGAGTTGCAGCCTTGTCAATCAACTGAAACCCACCCAATCACTGCCTACTCACTACACACTGCCAACTCCCTTGAACCTGTGCCACCCAAAACAATACTTCCACTTGGATGCACATATAATAAACCATGGATGCACATACATGTATGATATTCAGATACATCTAATCCTTGCAAAAGATATAAAGGGTCACTGTGAGCGGGTGATTGAGACATGTTCTGAAGTGTTTAACAGAATTTCTAGGTAAAGGATACAAGTATACAAGGAGAAATGTACCTTTTGGAGGCTTGGCCTTGGTCTTCCTCTTGTGTCTCCACAAGATGAGCAGGATGACCACCATCAGGACAAAGATGATGGCCACCAGGATGCCCACGATGATGGCCACATTGGGGAGGCCGCTCTGACCGTCCACTTCTGTGATGGACGTGTCAACTGTGGTCACTTCTGTTAAAAGGAAAAAAACAACAATGGAATGCATTAAATACTAGGAAGAATTACATGTTTGCCTCTAAACTGTGCCGTCTCCTCATTTTCCTATTTAGATCCCTTTTCATGCTACTAAACATTTTTCTCATCAAGAGTTTTTTTCTCTATTGATCACACCCTGCCATACTGCTGTGTCAGTACCTTAAACATGAAAACTGTTCTAGCCAGCCTGAATTTATTTTTGTCATCGTAATTTTGTTTAACATAACAACATGTCAAGAGCCAAAGAATTTCATGACGTTTCCATGATGTTAATATCCCAATCTAGCATTGTCTTTTTAATCTAAGAATGAAGAGAAGAAATTCAAGTGGGGTTGCCACAACATGTAGCTAACATAGAGACAAAACAGTTTATACGTGTACAAGGACAGGCTAACACATACAATGTACAGGTAAAGCAAGTAATATGCCCCCTAAAACTACATTTTCCTGTGGATTAAACACTGAAGACAAGACTTTGTGTAGTAACATCACATAAATCTGTTAAACACATTCAAGATAATCTACTTTCAAGATACAAAAACGTGGCAAGATGGTCTGTATTCTTAAAACCCTTCTTATTGAGTTCTGTCATGATAATAGAAACTTGTGATGTGATCCAAATCAAAGCTGGACGAAGTTTTAAAATTGTGCTACAGAAGTCATTGAGAGCCAAGGGTTACAGCAGGCAGGTTTAAGTTTCTAGTACTCATCAGGCATTGACTATAGTTAGGCTAGGGGGCCTTGCTTGAGGCAAGTGCAAACCTGTATCATTCCCATCTGCAGAAATGGCCGCAACAACTGGAAACCAGGAAGAAGATGAGAAAATAAGCACTGGCTTTACCATGCATGTCTGGTAACGACGTACTGTTGAGCTTTGCTTTCAAACTTCCTGGTGGCTGTTTTAGTTTCTTTTGCTTGTTTGAAACAGTATTTTTATTTTAGAGGAATAAATTGGTGACATGATGATTTGTCAGCTGTTCTCTTTCAAAGATGTTATCAAAAACACCCCTGTAGTTCTAAAACAAGCTGCTAGGGGGCTCAAACATTGTTTTCTTTGAATATGATTGCAACAAGCTCCTGTGATGCTTGCCAAAGTTGGAATCAGAAGAGACAACAACCAGGAAATATGTCAAGCTTCGCTCCCAGTTTCACCCAAAGCATATTACGGATTAAAAACCTGTTCTAAAATCCTTTAGTACCTGTGTGATCCGAGCCGTTAGGGTCTACAGTTGTGAGAGAAGTGGCGCTTCCGTCCATAACGATTTCCCCGTTTGGAATCTCGATGGGCAGAGGCACTGTCTCTGTCACAAGCATTGGGTCTACATACTCTTCGTCAGTAAGGTGGCTGAAGTTGCCAGTCACTAGAGAGAAGGAGATATATCCAAGCTGGGTTATATATAGAACTACGAGCTAAGTAAGTAAGAGAGGTTAGGAGCAAGTTAGGAGACTCCACTAAGGCTGCAAGAAAAAAATGTTGTGCTTGCAATTCTTAGTCCTGAAAAAATTTGAGTCGGTAGGGAGGGGTTCTTTTTTGTTCTTGGCTGAAGTGCAAAATTTAATACAGTTGATCAACAACAATATGTAAAAACAAAATTCAGGACTTGTCCCTCTGTTGGCTCATATGGAAGGGACAAACATTTCCCTTGTGTTATGCAATGAAAATTTTACTGTGAAAATGTGTGAAGCAACATTTCAGAAGGTACGAAATTCAGATGTCTGATATAAATTGTAAAGCGTTGGCAACAGTCGACCGCAAAAAAGGCTAGGGTCGGTCGGGAAACCAGAAACCAAACATTTTTTCTAGGCCTTACAGTAGTGTGAGTCCAAAATCTTGCTTCTAACAGGTCTTACATTGTTGTGAGGCTATGGCAGGAGAAAAAGGGGGAAAGAGGGATAGGGCATGTACGGTTGCTACTTGGGTAAATGAGGGTTAAGAAATTAACAACAATATCATGCATCCAGCATTCATAAAATAATATGTTACAATCTAGCTCAATATTGTCATCAGAATGTGTCAGCAATTAATAAAGAAACATCTGCATTGTCAAAATAAACTCTACAGCATTAAATTGTCACTGGTGTGCTGAGGCCAAATACGTCTGTCGCACATCAGGAGTGCCCCCTATTGGATCTTACCAAAACTGCAAATTGACCAAACATTTGAAATTCTTTTTCATTTGCAAGTCTTTTTTTAATGTTTTTGATGTTTATTAATGACTTACTTGTTAACATGATGATGTAATTATACAAAGAGTGAAATCTTAACCTGGTTATTCTTATAATTTTTTCTATTCCTTCTTTTTTTCTTCCCATCTCTACCTGAGTTTATATACAAATGTAGGAACCTACCTGAGTCAAAGGACACCTCACTAAACAACATCCAACTGTCGGCATAGGTGAAGCGAACCTTCAGGAACTTTCCAATGTTGTGGTTTAAGTTGATGGTCACCCATCGTGCACTGTTTGGAAGAAAACAACAAGGTCACGATTCCGATTTTATTCTTCTTTGACATTACAATTGCAGATCCTTGCTTTAACATTTTATCTTTTCTCAACAAAATACAGGTCCAACTCAGTACATTCTGACATGCTTTTTTATTTGTTGAGACCCACTATATTTGTGGAACACCAATGACCCATTTGAGAGGACATCCCTTACCAATTTAGCTAGGAACTCATCTTCACCAAGTTCAGTGAGAATACATGTGCTAAGTGCCTTTCCCAAGGGCACAGAATTAGGGTCTGCCAAGGATTTAAACCTTCAGATTCTGAGTCAACGACCCTAACCACAAGTCTGTCTTGCCACAAACAGGTAGCGTGGTTCTTCTGTCTTCTACGATGGATGGGCACCTCTTAACACAATATAGCAAAACAACGTTAACAGCCATGTTCCTACCTGTAGTTGTTAGTGTCCAGTATGTGTTTGTACACTATGGGAGTGCGGGAGTAGTAGGTCCCCTCGATGCTGAAGGATATCGTTGCCTCATCGAACACCTTGGCCTCCCGCAGGAAGAAGTTATTACAGTGGATCTTCATGGTCGTGAAGTTCCTCGCGTTCTCAAACTCGAACACGATCTCCACGGGTTTAGTTCCCTTGGTCGTGTTCTTCCAGCCGACCCACTCGTAGCCGGTCCACATGCCGCTGGCATCTAGGAGGAAGTTGTCAGGGCCGGTGATTCCGTCCGTGAGCTGGCCGAGTCCGCTGTACACCAGGGTCGCGCTTTTGGCGCCGTCGTAGGTGGCGTCGTTGACAAGCACGTCACCGCGGCTCTGTCCCGGAGGCATGGAGTAGGATACCAGGCCGTCTGTGAAATGGGAACAAAGTTTCTTTGGTTAGGACGAGGCCATACAGAAGTGCCACCTGTGAAGTGACAGTGGATTTGCAGTGTGCAGGACATACATCATAGGTAAGGCTAAAAAAACAACACAAGGCTGTTTCTTAAGGATGAGTCTATACAAAAGCGCCATCTATCAAGTGACAGTGGATTTACAGCATGCAAGCAATTGGCAAGACCAAAGAAGAGACACCTAGAGGCCAACTGAGGTACTCCATCTTTCATGCAAACTTTATAACATCATATCTATCTATGTAAGAAGCCTGGCACATGTATATGATATACACATAATACACAGGCACAATAACAATCCAATTGTATAAACTGTTATAGCCCGATTAACGCAGATATGATACCCATGATGCACCATTCTTACCGTTCCATTCGCAGCCGTACATCTCCACCCTCATGCAGACGGTCTGTGGCACGCCCGGGTCGTTACTGAGCGGGATGAAGCGGATGTGGTTCCCGATAAACGGCGGGTCCAGATCCCGCAACACTGGCGTCATGGAGTCAGTGTTCCCTTCCAAGAGCTGTCATATGGACAAAAGGAAGAAATATTTGTATCCCTAGGCATTAAAATTATCGTACACAGATATTTCTGGAATGACTGCTTGGCTATAGGCTAGTGTATGAGATATCATGATGTCCCTGTTTCGATTCCATGTATTCCTGGCTAGACGTTGTGTCCTTGGGAAAGGTACTTTACACGGCTTTCCTCTCTCCACCCAATAATTGTAAAATTTGTACCTGACTTCGGCTGGGGAGGTACATGTATAAAAGGCAGTGGAAGGAGAGGAATGGGCTCCATCCTCCAATACCATGCCCTAGACACAGTGGACTAACAACCGACTGCCTCAAAAAGGCTATGGAACTCCCTTTACCTTTACCTTTACACCAACACTGACTTCTTTCTTGTTTTGCCTGAGGTACAAATGTATTTGCATTAAGCCCTCTATTTCCAAAACTGACCAAAAATTGCATAAAGGAATGTTAAGGACTTGCTTTCTCCCCCTCCACACATTGTTGACAAAACTTTACAATAAATCCACCCAGACCAATCAACGCACAGACTCATATCACCAATCAGAAAAGCCCCAATTATATAAAAAAAACCCTTCTAACCCTGCAATTAAAGAGACTTAGACACGCTGGGAGCAATTCACAATGTAATTGAATTAAGAGGATAAAGCTAATTACACTAATTATGATCTGTTTAAGTTCCTTTGTCTGTGTTCTCAATCCTGTGGGTGGGATGCACCAGAGGCCTGGGAACATTCCTTGGTTGTTCCACATTGCTAATCCCAGAGAAAGATTTGGTTAGGATTACTTCAGAAGAAAGGGGGGAGGGGGGCCGGTTCTTTGTGAAAATACATTTTTTTTATATTCAGCAGTTTGTTTTGTATTGGGAAGATGTTTAGAAGCTGGTGAGTCAGATAAAATAAGACTTTTCTTCACAAGTTTATTTTAGATTAAACTTTATCTACAAGCTCATACCCAAGAGCTATAATTATAATATTGCAAGGGTTAATCATGCAGATGGATACAGAAACCAAAAAATAAATGATAGAAAAAGTTTTGTGAGCTGAGTTGAATTGTAACATTTTTGAGATAGTAAAGACTTGGGGAGCTTGTGGTAACTGTTTCAAAAAGCCTGTTCCTTTCAGCCTCATAAAGCGAGCATTTCTCATTTTCTACTGAAAAGTATCTGTAACAAGCAGTCTGTGACATACATTTTGTACATGTGGACCACCATCATTACTAATGTTACATTAGTCACTAAACTGTCCCAGACAGTACATGTAGGTTGGGAAATTGAGGTGGTGAAATGCATGTGTCCCTGGATAGGGAACATCCTAACTTCCTGGTTCACACAGGGACAAAATTCCCACAGAAAATTCCTTGCGAATTCCAAGGAAATGAGACAGATCCTGGACTATGGAGGATACATGAAGTTGGTGCATGTAGCTATAGGTTCAAAAGACTTTTGAAAACTAAAATCTTATGAGTAGTTCCATATGTAGCCTTTGACTTTGAGGCACTGTGTTTAGGGAACGGTATTGGAAGGTGGAGTCCATCCCTCTCCTTTCACTGCCTTTTACTTACCAGTAACCCCAACTGAAGTTAGGTACCCATTTTACACCTGGGTGGAGTGAGGAAAGTCGTGTAAAGTGCCTTTACCAATAGGACATAACAACTAGCCAGGAATACCAGAAATGAACCCGTATTTTGTGTCCACACTAACCTATAGCTAACTACACTGCCAATTGATGCTACAATGTACCTACATGTACATCTTTATAATATATATGATAAATAAACAAACAAACCTCATTGCCTGTCCTGTCCTTCCATCGTCTCCAAACCTTCCCATCCCGGCTGTACTCTAAGCGGAACCTGCGGGCAAATTCTCGCCCGATGCCCTCATCATAGCGCCCCTGAACTGCCACAATTGTTACGAAGCGCTGCGTACGCATGTTGACTTGGAGGTACTCGTACGACTCGTCGGTGACCATGTTCCGTGGACACCACGCTCCGTCGCCCTCATCTTGTCTTAGTCTGAAAACGCGACAAATTTCCATCTTCAATGACAAAGAAACATTTAAACCAATGAAAGTACCTTTCAGTATGAAGAAAACAAACTTTTTAACCAACAGTTTTCTTAACTCAAAGCTTCATCAGCCGAATAGGAACACTCCTTTTTCCTAATTTTTCCAAAGCTTTCTCAACATGTATGCAGTAGCACAAACAACCCACATTTTCTGCTACTTCTTTTCATCAAAATGCAAGATGAAAACAACAGCTTGGAAACACTTAAAAGAGTATTTAAAATCTGCAGCCTCTTACAAAGTCAAACGCAAAAGCCTGCGGCAACAAATTGGAGCAAATTAAAGAAAATTACAAAGAAATTAAACTGAAAAAAGCCATTATCTGTTAGCATTACCTTAAAACTAAACAAAACAAAATCTTGGCTTCTCTTAGAAGCATAGTACAGCAAAGAGTGGGATTATGGAGCTTCATGTTGTCATTTTCAATCACATCACGTCAAATGCAAATTAGTTCGTTATTCTCAAACTCCACTCGTTATCGGAACCAAACCGGGCGGATTTTTTGGCGGGATTTCCCGGGCGCCGTGTGGACTCACCTCCGACGCGTTATGTAAGGTCTGGGGAGGTACACGGGACAGATACATAAGGAACAGAAGAGAAGAGGAGAAGAACACGTCAACGCCACCCAACAAAGAGAAATCATGGACGTATGGAATCATGCATGGATAGAAACACTCACAGGAAAGAGTACAAGCACTGAGACTGGTCTAGAATTGTTGTAACATCATGCTGTTTTGATTTTAAAAACGTACTGCAAATGCAGAAAATTTTGTGGTGGTTTTATTTTTCAAAGTTCGGATTTGGAAGAATTCTGTTATTACAGTTACAAAACCACCATGAAAGTTTCTGCTTTTTTTGCAGAGCCATTTTTGGCAATTTGCAACAATGATAGAACAATTCTTGTACAGTCCTATTGCATGACATCTTTCCTGTGACTCCTAACAAAAGACACTTGACACTTGAATCTTTGACAAAATTATGATGCAAGACAATCCATGGCAAGGTAAACCATTAAGCAGAAAAGTTTACCTTTTTCACAATGAAGATGAAACAGTCCATTGCAATCTTCCTGAAATTGTACAGGACTTCTATTTTTTGTTGCCATCATATTCACCATGCACATAGACATAACTTTTGATATTTTACCAAGCCTGGATTGCCTTATAAAGAATTGTAGGAAAGGATGAAAATGTTCAAAGAAATGAGAGAGAAAGTGAGAAAAGCAGAGTTACCAGAAAGTAGACCTTTCAGAATGAAACACTTGAATGAATGATTATAGCACAATATGACATGAAATGGTCAAGAAGTAATGGAAAAGAGAGAGAAAAGAGAGAGAAAAGAACAGGAAAGAGGGCCACTGCTACATCTAACCTCCAAAACCAAAACTTTATTAATATTATTATCTTTTCATAATCTTAATTCTATCTGCTTTATTTCAAGGGCTTTAAATTTAAATGAGCAGAAATATTTCTTCTTTATCAATTCTTGTGGTTTTCACAACATTTGCAAAGTGTGTGTTCATAACAAGTTGACAAAGCCAGTACTAGTACCTTTCAGAGAAACATTTCAGAAAATTGATATACACTAAACACAATACCTTGCGTAACTTGGGCCGACTGTTTCAAAATGTGAAGAGCTTGCAGAGATGTCCTCATCTGGGATCCTCTTGTCTTCCATACCCAGGGAGTATCGGCATGTCGCTGTAGAAAAACAAGATAACACCAGCCTTTTAATTACATTGTACCATCTACTTGGGGCTGTGTGTCTCTGTTCATGTACATGTATGCAAGTGTCTGTGTTTGTGTCTGTGAACAGCATAACTCGAGAAGTTCTGGATGGATCTTAATGACATTTGGTATGTGGGTAGGTGTTGGCAAATTGAAGAAGAGATTAGATTATGGACCTCCTAGCAGCCTTCTACGGTACTACAGCAGAACTTCTTGTTTTGATATTTCAAGTTTTAGAACTTCTGGGAGATAACTCTTGGCCTGGTGAAGAAGTGGTATAGGTTTAAATTTGGTATGATAGATACAGTATGATACACAGAGGCAAAGTTAAAAGAGTTTTCTTGTCAACCTCCCTTGTATCTGTAATACAGTATACACGTTCAACTCGCGACCTCTTAAACTCCTTTGAAAAAGGGGCTACAAAACATGTTCCTCTATTCTCAGGCTTGAATGAAAGGATTTCTCTTTCCTGACAGTTTCAGAGAAAGGACCACTGCTGCTGCAGCTATTTGAACAGATGCCGTCCAAACATTTCTAATCCTGTTTTTCTTCTCGAACGCGGATGGCAAATCTACCGCCCAGACTACCCCAGACTACCCGATCATCGCAACTGGAATTTATTTGCACACGAAGAGCTCCCTGAATGCCTTCCTTTGACTATACAGCCTTCGAGTCTGCTGGTTTTATTTTCTTTAAGATCTCGGGATGTCTGAAGGGCCCTTCAGAACTCACAGGGCTGTGACTTAAGGAGGCAGGGCTCTGTTAGCTTAAGACAAACACTCCCAAGGAGCACACAATACCTGTGTGACATGATCTTAATGAACCCAACCAGCTCAAGCTTTAATCCACGATAATCCAGCGAGATTTAAACCAACAATGGTCCAAGTTTTCTTGGAATGATCCTCGGGTCTTGCAATGTCTCTTTTACGGCTTATATAGAATTATCATAGAAAAACTAATTACTGGTGGATTTCGTTATTTTCTCAATCACTCCAGAAGTTAAAACAATAGATTACGCTTCCGGTTCCGACAGAAGGGTAGTGATGGAAATGCTAAATCTTTGAAATGATTCACACAAGAGTCATTGGTCTTAAATTCACAGTGTTTTCCTAAATAACATTTCCTTCCTTTGTTAATCTTTACTGGGTCTGGCTGTCAGGACATTACAGTCTGTCCAGTGTGCGTTGCTAAGCCCATGCGTCACTCCGTGTTTAGACTATGCAGAGACTCAAATCATGACAAAACCATTTGGAGAAGGAAGCATGGTTTTTAAGTGTGTAGTCTGGTGTCTGCAGGTTTCCACTGTGACACAAAACAACTGCAAAGCATCAGTCATATACGTCGTATGTTGTCCAATGATTTTTTTTTGCAGTCAGATTTTAAAGCTAGCTGTGACAGAATAAACCATCGAAAGGGACAGCAGCGGAACTTTGTTAACGATCATATGTCAAACATTACTTTTTTTATAGTGACAAATGTGACCAGGTTCAACTTTTGACACATCTTTTGATGCTTCCAAATTTTGTAACATACACTTAACAGCAATCGCAGTTAAGAAACAAAAATTGGTCACACTTTAATGGCTATAAACACACTCCACCTTTTATCTGTATGTGAGGATTTCATACAAAAACACTGGAAAATTCCTTATTTTGACAGACTGAGGCCCTCTCCTCCCTTCATGCACCAGACAGGATGTTTACCTGTTTACACTGTTGTTTAGATAGAGGACCATACAGGTGAATCAATTGGTCACAGCTTCTACAGTGGAGAATGATCAAAGGATTTACAAGAATAGCAAATAAACTGTGTGTTTATGTTATGAATATATTATATTTTACAGCAGGATGCGTAGACATAGAAGTACAGAATATGACAAAAATTTCTCACAGTTCTAAAATGAACATGCTCAAAAACAAAACAAAAATTGTATCTTCAACTTTTGGGGGGGGGGAGGTTTTAATACCGATCACATTACTTCTTGTAGTAGTGTAGTAGTGACCAATAGACTTCAGAATACAAAGTTTTCTAGTATAATTAAAGCTTTGCGCCTATCCATTTGATAATGATTTTAGCAGGAACTATATGTTTGCATGGAAACTATTGTACCAGATGTAAAGGTTCAAGAATGTTCTTCCACTACACAAACAGAAATGCACTGTTTATCCCTGGTGTATTGAGCATGTAATGTTTGGAACATTTTTTTCAAAAGATTAACATTCTCAGAAACAGAACATTTGGTACTGTAAATGCATTTACTTAAAGTTACAGTTAAAATCAATTGGTTGTACAGTTAAAAATACAAAATACATATTCGCAGTATTATCATTTTATGTAAGAGGACAATGCCTGAACTTCGAGCATTTTGCGATGTACCCTAAGACAGAGTTGCTGCAAATGGAAAACAGCCAACTTCCAAGTTTTCACTGTGTGGGAAGTTCTGCCTTACCAAGGGATTAGTTCTTGTGTCAGAGATGAGACCGAAGATGCTTACTACACTGTCATGGAATGCTGAAATGAAAACCTACAGGCACAAACATGCAGATCTACTGACATCATCGCAGATCACACAAATGTGTGCTTTGTTTACGCCTCTTTCCTTCGTTAAATCTTAGAGATCAGCCGGTTTACAGTCAAAACTACCCAAGAAGACCACTCATGGGACCGATCAAATCTGGTCTATATGGACAGGTGGTCACTATAGACAGGATTCTTGATGCTTGTGTCAATGGGAAAAATTATCTAAGGGACCACCAAAAGTGGTCACCTTAGCCAGGTGGTCCTTATAGATAAAGGTGGTCATGATCATTTATATAGGTTTGAGTGTACTTCATATGCTGGATGAGTAGTGACCACACAGTGTGGTGACCACAACGGTCAGGAAGTCTTGAGGTCTGCACTGTCCTTTAATCCCCTATCTATAGGTTGTTAACAGGGACTCATTAACACCTATGCACCTGTCTCCCACCCCCACACAAAGTGGGATAACTGCTCCATTATGAACTAAATGGAGGCATTGTAAAAAGTGTTCTGCGTTGAATCATCTCAACAATTTCTGAGTTAAACTTCTTCATGTTTAGTTCACAGTTTGGAACTAAAGTTTTCACATGCACTACCATATACAGCGTACATTTTTTTAACAATGAGGGAATGATGGTCAGGTATTTGTACATTTTACATGACTAAAAGTGACATGTAGTACGGTAGATATGAGTCACAAACTTTCTTACTGGCTGTTAGTGTTATACATGTAATATGATGAAGGTATATTATGTTGCCCTAAGCCTTCCAATGCTGTTGTTCCCACTTGCACCATGGAAAGTGAGAGACTTGCCCCAAAGGCAGACACTAATAAACAATGTAGAAGACAAGCGTGTGACAACTTTAATGATTTCCTTTGGGAGAGTTATACACCTGTGAACTCTGGAGCAAGGTCTTTGAGGGTCATTTGGTGCCATATAGGCTAGTGTGTAAAACCACACGATCTTCCCACACAGTAAAACTACAGTAAAATAGAGACACTGAGGGGGGAGGGGGGCACATGGACATTTCACAAGTAAGAAATTGAAAGAAGACATTGAGTTTTAGACTCACTAGTGTGTAAAAAAAACCATAAGATCTTCCCACAGATTAAGCTACAGTTAAAGACACTGAGGGGGGAGGGGGGTACATGAACATTTTGCAAGGAAGAAATGGAAAGAAGAAATGAAGGAGATACGAGAAGGAAGAACCACCTTACCATAGTAGTCTGGAAGAGTATCCAAGGTAGCAGAGTACGTAGAGAAAGAGACAGAGTGGAGGAACTATTTTACACAGACACAGAAAATACTTTCTTTGATAGTCGAAGCAATGTAATGTCCTGAGGGCTAGTCGAGCTACAAGTGAACAAGGCTTGAGAACAGGCTTTTGCTAAAGGCGTACACAAAGAAATAGCAAGAAAAGAACCAAAACTCGGATAAAATTTACTGTCAAGTTTAACAAAGATTAGAACTGATGTTGTGTAAACTTCTTAACTTTGTGTTTGGCAGTATATTGTGGGACATAAGGTTGGGAAAAAAGCGGAGATTAAGCAATTTTCTACCTGTCAGAGTCCATTAGAGGTAAACAAAAGATGTTACGATACAGACACACGCTCTGTTTACAGGTGGGAGAAAATTATGGTCCTTTCTCGTGATTGATTAAGACATATCTCTTGAAATACTGATGGCTTACAGGCTAAGAACAATCATGTTTAGTGTCAGACAGAAGTATCTGTAACTGCTGCATTGTCTCTTGAGCCTAAAGGGATCTTTAATCTGACCCACAGAGAAAGGTCACAAACCTAAACATTATTGCCTTATTGTCAGTAAGAAGTTCTACACATTCAATAATAGTCAAGGAAGTATAGGATTGAATCTGTTTCAACTCAACATGACCTATGTGTTTCTTTCGAGATATTTCAGAGAAGATTTTCATTTTCCTTGCCTTTTGGCTGTCTCATACATCCAAGGACCTCTTCTTACTGTAAATGCAGAAACTTCTGCAGCAGTTTTATTTTCGTGGACATCTCTCTTTACAGTTGTACTGTGTTACAGAATTGTTTCAAACCACTGCAAAGATGTAAGCATTTACGGTACCACATGGGATGATGTTATGACAACCCAACAATTAGCAGGGAAGCAGCAAAGTGGTGGATTCCCCAGGCACAGAACCTCTGTGGTCAGGAGAAAACATCCCACAGCCTGAGTTGTCACAACACCAAGTCCCAAAGGGGGGAGGGGGGCAAATGGAGCCCAGCCAAAGATCATCATCATCATCACTGACACCCACACCATCATCATCATCACTGACACTCTTGAATCAGCACCACTGCAGTTTTTTTTTTTGCACTATAAGAATGAAAACTAATAAAAATTGCTTGTTTGCTGAATTGAATCAGAAAAAAAGGCCCAAAACTTACGTTACTTTCCGTGATCTGATAAACTAAATGGCTTACAAGAACCTCAATGTTTTGTTCCAAGTTACCATTTTTTTAGCAAGCAAAATCTCTTTTTCTTGGTATATGGTTTGTCTTCCCACAAAGTATTATCAATGTCAGCATCTAGTATTGGCTTCAACCATGTTTTGGGCACGAAGACCAATTGAAAGTGTTGTTTGCTCATTTTAATTTGAGAGGTAGGATTTGGGAAAAAAGTATTTGTGTAGTGAAATTGTTTCCCTTTGTCTTGTAATCCGGTCATTGTACAATTCCCATACACGGCGTATGTTGTCCGAAGATTTCATACGTGACTAAACTTCTAAAACTGCCCTTCCCCCTCCACATCTGAACGCCACATGTGCCACTAGAGTCAGACACAAGCTATTTGTGTTCCTGACAAATTTGACATTGGGGTGCGGAGCTTTACATAGCTCAGTCTCCCAGCTGTCTGACGTCAGTTCTCAAATTGAATCGACACGTGATCGCCAAGAACTTGGCAAGCATCTCCGTGTGAAAGATCAGTCAATATCCTCAACAGTTGGCTGACATCATTCCGTGTTTAATGTGCCGTTAGTAGGGTGACGAAACTAACTTGATATGGTAATCGCTACCACTGCACTAAATAAAACTCACTTCTACTAGCCTTTGGTGGTATTCCAATATTCATGGGAACTGGGGACTTTTGAGACTCTACTTTTCATCGTAAATGCCAAAAATTTTAACTGCATTTAATTTTGCAGTAGTACTGTAGTGGGAAAGAGGAGGTTTTCGCATCGCAAAGTCACGGTTAAAGCAATTCTTATTGGAGAGATCAGAGTTAAAAGCAAGCAAATAAAACCACCATAAAGATTCTACATTTCAAGTATAAAACAAATGTAAGTCAACAGTAAGGGATTGAAAAAACACTTTGAAGCAAATACAGGTTGGTTTAAGATGTTTTCAAACAAATGAAAAACAGTGGGCAACATTTTTTTCTTTCTTTCACTTTGAATGTTTCTTTGGCTATTCACTGAAAGGTGTCCAATTTTGAATATTCCCAAAATTAACATTAAAGCAGTAATTCAAAACTTCAAACATTTGCAAAAATTGTTACGCGACAGGATGTTAGAGATTTCTGAGATGTTTCTAATTGTCGCTACGCAGCAGTGCAGGACTACCGACCGTACAACCAGCGTTTGATGGTACCAACCCGCCAATTGTCGCTTAAACAAACCCACCCAACCGCCGCATTGTCTCTGCAATCGTTCCCTGGGGGCTAGAACAATGCACACCTTTCCAGTAATGTAAACTCTTTGGGGAATACTTTTTATCGCTTCCTCTTCTCCTTCCATGGAATTTTAAGAACAAGAATTTTAGTGATCAGCGCAGACTTCAAAGGTGACTGCTAACTACAAAAGACGTTCTTTCGCAACTGATCCGCATAATTTCCGCAATCCCTATATACTTTTCTTGAGGAAGGAAGTCTGAAAATTAGAGGCTCTTTTTTCCTGAGAGACCTAGACAAGACTTACGCCTTTTGTCTCTAAGTTTCAAGCACCTGTGGTGTACAATTTTAGAAGGTAGTGCTCCATATCACAGGAGACTACAGGAACTTCAAAAAGCACATTGACTCAACAGATAGTTAAGAAAGTTGACTCATCTTACATGTCTCTTTACAGCTCATTACCTCTCGTCTTAAGCACCTACGTTTACCTGTTACACAAAAGGTGTGATTCATAGACAAAGAACTGTCCCGTCCTTTCTCCAACCTCCCGCGGGCAAGAATTCAGCTCCTTTTGTGAGGTGTCATCTTCTGTTTCTCTCATTATTTCTCCAACATTAGGCCATTAAGTACACATCACTATCCCACAACAATAAAGGTCAGGTTGTCGTGACACTCAAATCTCCGGGTGACACGGCTGCGGAGATCGTATCTCGTCATTTTCGTTGTTCCGTTCGTCATTATTTCTACATAATGGAAGCTGGGACAATGTGGCTGCTAATGTCGGTCACATCAATTTTTTTTCTGATCTTCCGATGTCTGTAATTGTGCTCAAGTTTTTTATGTCTGAATGAATTTGGTTTTATCATTTTTAGGCCAAAGTGCAATAGTTACAGTGAAGGAACTACAACAAGGAGGAAAGTGCCTTTCAAACTTTACGGATTAAAAACTCATGCTGAAAACTCAAAAATTCTTTTCTTTTAATCTTTCTCATATGAAATATACTTTCTCATAAAGAACAGATCCTTTGAATGACAAGGAAGGCACCTTCCACATTATTTCTGTTACAATTTTCATCTTCCTTTTTTCATTTTGATGTATCCCTGAGGCTTTCATTTTTCAGCCTATGGTTTGTGGATTCACTTTTTGATCTGTGTTGTTTGGGGAGGTATTATTAAAGGACCTGTTCCCCTCTGGGTAGGACAGTCATGCATTGTTTCACCTAGGTGGGGCCTAAGCAGGTAGAAAACCATTCGCTATCGGTGGAAATCTTTTGAAATTCTGGCTGGAAGGCAGGATTATTTAAAATGAATGTATGAGAAGGGAGGGACATAGAAACTGGGATTATATGAAAGCTATGCGGACAATGGGCGAATAGATTAACTTTGGTAACATAGCACAGTCATAATGTAGAAAATATAGCCATTATTATAGGGAAGCAAAAAAGTGGATTTTTACATACACGTGCGAACTCAAACTTTTGGACACAGCAGAATTTTCTAGCAAGTTTCTAACCATAGAACAGATCACTCCTTTATATACCTTTCTACACTTTCTTTGTTTTATCAAAATGCAAAAACATTTCTCTGCCTGGAATACATCTGTTGCTCAGGTATTTTTCCTTCAGAATGCGGTCCATGCAAGCAGTAAAAGGAAGTGAGGATGTGGTCGGTTGGTATTGTCAGTTGGTTGCTAGTCTAGGATTTGGTGGTCGGAACAACAAAAGCGATTTCACCACACATGGGTAGAGGAGGAAAGTCTCACAGACAAAGAAAGATACTTCAGAGAGGGTTTGATACAATGACTACTGTCAATCACTGATCTTCGAAACTTCAGTGGTGAAAAACCCAATGTTTAACCTTTTTTCCGCTAAGGGAGCCTTTTGGCTCCAAATTTGTATTTGACAGTGGATTAGGACAGTGGAAAAAAGGTTAATAAAGCTTGTTCTTGCATGACAATCTTTTTTTTACAAAATCTTGTTAGTACCCAGTGGTTTCTACACGCGGTACAACTGGAAGGGTTTAAGGGATATTACGGTCCAATATTCCGCAATTTTCTCCTTGCAACTCGACAAAGTGGGTGGGTGGAAGTGAGAGAGCGTGTTGTTTGTATAACCCAACCTCTTGACGACAGGGTTCCAAGGAAAGGTGAAAGAGTAAAAACCCAAACAACTTGCAGGTGTCAGGCCGAGTGGCAATCATCCGGTGTTTTGTGAATGCTTGCTCACGTATCGGGCCAGGTGAAGAGCACACACTTCAAAACGTGCTGCACAGAGTGTGTAAATCATGGGACAGGAAGAGTGCTGAAGGGACAGGACAAAACATGCCAGGATAGGTGTGTGTGTGTGTGTGTGTGTGTGTGTGTGTGTGAGCACGTGTGTGTCTGTGTGTGTGTGTGTCTGTGTGTGTACGTCACTGTGTGTGTGTGTGTGTGTGTGTGTGTGTGTGTGTGTGTGAGGAGCCTGGTGTGTGTGTGTGTGTACGTCACTGTGTGTGTGTGTGTGTGTGTGTGTGTGTGTGAGAGGAGCCTGGTGTGTGTGTGTGTACGTCACTGTGTGTGTGTGTGTGTGTGTTTGAGTGCGTGTTAGCCTGGAGCACAGCCTTCTTTGCTTTGGTCTGCCTGGATAGATTTTTGTGTCCTGAGTCTGTGAAATATGTATCTTTACTTTAGGCTTTTTCGACACTATCTTCCAACAAGATTGAAGCTCTGTACAACTGGTATTTTCAAGTCCCAAGGGCACGGCTAACACAGAGAAAACTGCAGGCGTTTGTTTGCTGACAATCTTAGCAAAGAACTGGCCATGATCAATCAAGAACCAATCTGGTAGCCAGCTGCCTGTATGGTACATGCACGAAAGGGCACGGGTATCTTTAGTGCTCTCTTAAAACCCCGGATATCAATTTGTCCATTTTGCTTCGCTCTCATTGATAAGGCTTTGTTTTAATAGTTCTTCTTGTTACCAGGCATCATTAGGCATGTAGTGAAGGATTCAACACTGTCTTGTGGGCTGAATTCTTATCTAACCAAATGAATAATGCATTTACTTTTATCATGATACAGATAGTAAGCTCTGCTCTCTTCCCAGCCCCCATGACAATACATTGTTACTGAGACGCGCTCAATTATCTAAACAACTCGGGCAGAGCACAAAAAACAACATATAGACAATATGCCACCGTTTGGGGAATAGAATGAAAAGAAATGTTTGGTACTTACATGCATCTATGGCCTGTGAACTCTTGTACAGTGTCATCAGAAGCAGGAGCCCTAGTGCAGCCCCTGTTCCTCTCTCCATGGTGGCACCACCGAGTGTCGGTCGACTGATTACAGCGGCCGTTTTTCCACCAATTGTTTTAGTAGCTAATCCCTCCGATGAGTCTTTCCACCAGAGAGCATGGGCTCAGTGTAGCATGGCAGGAGGTCCCCTCCTCAAACTTGCCTCCCTGCTGGAATGCACCAAGGCTGTACTTTTCCCTTCCACTAATATTTGCAGAAGCTCTCTCTCCAGCTTTCGCTCGGGAGGCAAGTTCCTGTGGTGTTTGACGAATAGTCACCTCCCCGCAGCTAAGTCTGTTGTCTCACTGGTGAAGCAGCACACACACAAAGTGGGTGTCCGGATGGAGGGAAGTTTTTCTTTTATCTCTGACGAGTCCTGATCAGGAAACCTGGTTCAGATCGGCTCGGCGCGTCGATGACAAGCCTTGCACGTCTGCTGTGGTTGGTGGAACACTGTCGCGTGTGCAGGACCCTTGTAGCTAGGTGGGTGTTCTATCTCAGCACACCGCCACTTCTGTCGTGCATCCACCGGCTTCAGTCAAATCCCTGTGAGGCAATTGAGAGATGTATTAAGTACATGTTAGCCCAACGGTCTGCTTGGTGGCGGGCTTTTTGTGACCAGGCAACAACCTAACAAGCGGAGGTGGGGAGGATAATGACGGGTACTGGTTGGTCTTAGAGAGGTGATAATTTGGGACTGGTCCACAAACTTTCCCGGGGGACGAAGCCCATCTTCTTTTTCAACCACAATTTTTCAGTTTCGGCCAAACAGCGCCTTACTTTACAAACTCTCAGAGTTTATTTTTCTACAGCTTTATCTTCTTTACAATTCTGCTACAGAAATAAGAGAAGTTTGGGTAACTTTTGACACATGGAATATACCAAGTAGAAGGCAGGGGGAGGCAAATCAATCATAAATGACACAGACAACATGCCTAGACCTGTCCACCCCTCTAGGGGACTGAACTAAGTTGAAACAGCATGGGGAAAGATAAGGACAAAAGCAACACAGCATAATTAATCAGAGGCTAATTGTTTCTATTGTCCAGCACTGCCTTTTAAGGTTTCCACCAAGATACCTTTACTAGCCTGAACACCTGTAGATATGTCTTAGGACCTGACAATGTAGTAAAAACACCTGCGTTGCCTAAGGTCTGAACAATACAAGGATATGTCAGTTTCTGTTCATTAAGACATTATAGGAGAAGTTTACAGTCAAACCTGTACTAGTACCACCTCTACATCAGGACTATTGTAGCCACTTTACCGTGGCTTCTTAGATCATTTTTTGCCATTGAACCAAGCATTAGAATCCAGTCTATCATTAGTGACCACCTGTCTACTTTGACCAGTTTCTTCACATCCCTTGAGTGGTCGTTATTGGCAGGTATGGCCATTCATTTCCGTACTGTAAATGCAGAAACTTTCGCAATAGTTTTATTTTACAGTCAAAGGGAGAAAATAAGGTTTTCGCAGTGTTTGAAGTTTGCGTTTGAAAGAATTCTGTAGTACAGCAAACTTATAAAAACATGGTGTTACACTGTTAGTCCATTGAGAAAAATTTCCGCATTTACAGTGAGTAAAGTCACAGTTCTTTCCTCCCAGTTGGACACGGCTCTGATCTATCTGTAAGTGCTACAGTGAGACCAGACCTCAGGTCCTAACCACTGGTATGTGTACCTTGACTAATTAAAGAAAAACTCCACCTCCCGAGAGAGGGCAAATCACAATTAGTTCCAGTCGCCCAGACAACTCCGGCCACTTTGTTCTACCACCCAATTAAAGCTCTAATAGCACAATTAAGCTAGAAACCCTTATCACAATATGGGGCTGTTTTTTGCTGCAGGTTGCCTTTAAGAAAACAAATAATCGTGATTGTGACATCATAAACACCATTTTCAAATGGTAGTCTCAGGAGACAAAAGAGCATGTCTCCAAATACAAGGCATTAGTCCTCTGCTATCTGAAATAAATGTGTTACAGGCATACCTTGGAAGCCTGTTTATAAATGTCTCACAGTTACCACATATACAAAGTTGGCTGGGAGTTTGAACAACCTATAGCTGGCCTTACAACGAAAACGTAACAGCTGACACTTTTTCTGACACCTTCCTCCTTCCACCTTAAGAACCTTTCCCGACCCTTAAGTCAATCATTCTTTCTCTTAATCAAACAGTTGGGAGAGTCTGACCCATCAGATATCGACTTCAGTGACCAAACATGTTGAAGAACACCAGGAAAGTGTATGTGGGGGGAGAAATGTAGCGATCCCCTGGGAGGCTACACTGAGGGAACGCATCTGTTGTTCCATCTAGCTACAGCATTCTTCGACCCCCAACTTTTAATTCAAACTGCATGGCTAGGACCCCAAATTAGGGGAAGAAATTCTGGGGTGGAGGGAGCACTTCCATACATGTACCTCCGATCCATTACATTATTGTGTTATTGAATTCTTGGGAGATTAAGAGAGTTGGGGGTGAAAATGTGCGACACCGGGGCAGCTAATACCGCTGTTCGGGGATCCGGAAGGGAATTTGTCTTGCCGCAGACTCCACGGAGTGAATGCTGGGAGTGTCAGTTCCCAGGAACAACAATTAGTAAAGAATTTCTGTAATGTACAGTTCCCATACATCAAAAGGTACTTGACTGTCTGGCTTCTCAAAGGGTATACTTTATAGTCAAGCAAACACATCCGAACATGACATTGGGGACAGGAGAAAAAGATCAAGAGACTGGGACCAAATTCTTGACTTCTACTCGATAAATGAGAAAGTTTACTAGTACAGTATCCTTATATCAAATGATACTTGACTGTCTGCTTCTCAATGGATATACTTAATAGTTTGGCCAATACACAACTGAACATGGCCTTAGAAAAGGGAAAAGAACGACAAAAGAAGACTGGTCTGAAAATTGCGCTTATCCGCAAATTTTCAACTCCAGTCTAGACATTCCTTAACAAAGACATGAGTCATGTCGAAAAATGCAGTTCAAAACCTGTTTCAGAATGACTTCTACTAACACAGATGAACTTTTAAGCCAGCAAACGACTGGTACCAAATACTTAACTTCTACTGGATAATCTAGAAGGTTTACCTTGCTAGTGTTCTTTCTTGCTGACACAGTTCTGCAGCTGAATTCCTTCGCAGAAAAACATCATTCTACATGTACCTGTACATCCCAAACCTAGTCCCAAATCCGGCTCCTACCACCTCCCAAATTCCCTGGGACAATGCTCTTTAAAAAAAAGGGTGGATCCCTTGCACCCCATGGTTTGTTTGTTTGGGGAAGATCCTTATCCTTGCATGGGACAGTAAATGGATAGGCGAGTTTACAAAGCTTGATGGACCAAACATTTGAGCACACTCTCCTGTAAACACAACATCATCAGCCGGCCACTTTCCACACAAATGTTTGTATACAGAAAGTTTGCCGGAAAAATGGCAACTATTTCTGTTGTTAAATGCTTATCCAAGATGTGTATATATTTGTCATTCCCCTACAAGGTGTGAACAATAAGACACCTTTGCGGTGGTTTTATTTCGCAGCAGGAGAAAGGTTTCCGATTTTTTTTTTGAAAAATTAAAGTTTGTGGTTGAATCAATTTTGCAAAACTATATAACAAAACTACAAAATATTTGCTGAGTTATGATTTTGCAGTAGGATGTCACTGCGAAAACCACCATTCAAAACTTTCCGGATTATCCTTTTCATATCAATAATGGATAAATGGATGATAATACATTAACAATTGTGCCAATATTCCTCACAAACAGACAAATAAATGACGTGCGTAGGTAAAAGCTCTGCTAAATAATTTACCAACCTTACATCTTCGTGAAGAAAAGGTACACATGACTGTTTGTAGCAATAGAAAAAGGAGGTAATCTTTTGGAATTCAAAACTTTTTCCAGCAACCTACATTTCGTAGAATATGACCTACATGTGCAAGAACCACTGAAAAATGCATGATCTTAAATGTATGGGAAAGATAGAGAGGATTTCTGCACCTGTCCAATTCTTGAATAAATCATTCGTTGGTTTTATCAGGTAGTAATTCATGCATTTAGGTTCTTCTTTTATAGCCCCATTCGAAAGGACAATGCCGTTTTTTTCAGTCGTGTCCAACTTAATTGCTTCGATTCACTAAAACTTTAGCCAATTTGACATCAAATTGGGGTAAAAGAACAAAGGGGAAAAGTTGTATATTTATCCAGACTGCTCATTAAGTTACAGTAACAATAACACTTGTCAGAGAACCTGTAAAATCAGCCAAGAGATCAGGACATTTGTGGGAAGCGAGCAAGATAACTGATCCCAGATCAACGTTGTGAGAAAAAGTATCTCGCTAAAATAAACAAAGGAGGATCGATGAGATGCGAGCCCTAAGTTCACATAATTCCGCCCTTTGAAAAACTGGCCCATTCTAAACAATTTTTCTATCTCACCCAGAGCCATATTTGGGCAGATAGCTTAGAAAACTCCACCTGTCTTTTAAGAGGAATCTTTGTTATCTCTGTCCTATATCGAACCTAACACCCCCTTCTACAAAACATAATTGGCCATGGTAACAGGCATCTTCCTAAGTCTGGAGCTTTAGTAAAGAATTAGCTGACTACCTACAGAAAGGATTAACCAGCATTCCCCAGATCTTAAGCTGATCTTGTAGCACTCCTGTCAAGAAGTTTCGGTTCTTCAAGGAAAGAATCCAGTGGTATGGAATCTGTTGTTGAATGATAGGCAAGCATTAGAACCTTTTGTCTTAGCTGCTACTGAATTCCGCATTTGTCCTTCTTCCTGGCTTTCCAATTTCTTTTTCAAACAAAAAAAGGCACAGAGACATAAAAAATTGAAGCTTACCAAAGATAACACATTCGTAACCTGCTATTAACTACCTGTATCATTTTCAATACACATGTTATTCTTTAATCTTTCACATTAAGTCTCCAAGACATGAAAGTGTTGCGACCCAAATCCATAAATATCTGGAGGGCAGTTCTTTGAAAAAAAAATCCATTCAGAAAGATTCAATACGCTCTGTGGTAAGGATTAAGACATGAACAAAGGAGAGAAGAAATTGAAACTCGGATGAACAAAGATGGTTATCTCAGCAGGTTATCTTAAAGAATCCTTGAGATTCCTTGGAATGTGTACCTTCCAGCCAGTGCACCTTGTAGATGCAGGGCATAGAAGACATCCCACATTCTAGTACAACATTTAATAGGATGTAAACAGGGTTAAGAAAAGCCTGGTGTTTTAAAGAACCTGGAATGCAGTGATGCTCAAGCTATTCACTAAATGTTGGGATTTCCACAAAGAAAGAAGAAAATGTTAGGCCATGGAAAAATATGTTTCTGGTTGCAGTCCTGAAAAAAATAGGGTCAGTAGGTACGGATTGTCCTTTTTTTTTAGATTCAGGCCGAAGACAACAAATACAGTTGTGGAAATTAAACTGAAATGTATCAGGCCCAGGGCTCAAGTACTTGTCCCTCTGTTTGCTTGTACCTAAGGGAAAGGACAAATATTCTACCTAACAAACATACTCA